CGGATGCCGTGATCGACTACGGAGAACACATCGAGATCAACGGAACGAAAATCTTTGAAGAAGACTTTGTCGTGGACAATTTGAAAGTGAATGGCGATCTGGGTATTGCCAATATCAACGACGTGAATATCCTCAAGTTCAATAATTCTGTCTTTAAGCAGAATCACGATGACATGATTGTTGGTCCGTTAACATTCCTCAAGGATGTTACGGTCGAGAAGCTCTATGTAAACGACGCCGATCTCAACGCGTCCGTCAACGCAGCGGTCCGTTCCAACGACGTTATGCCGCACAACATTTATTTCGAGGAACTCGAGGTGCTGGGTGATGTGTATCTACAAAATTTGAATAAAATTGATTTTGACAAGTTTGTAAAAGATCGTGTCACCCTTAGCGGAGATCATGAAATCACGTGCGACATGAAATTCAATGGTATTGTTACAGTAACAGGTAAATGATTAGCAATTAACAATTATCTGAATTAAGTTCATTTAAATTGAAATTATAATTTGATGGCACTATTCTCTTATTTCAATTTGTAATTTAAATAATACGAATATTGATAAAAATGACAAATTTTTACAGAATTTACTGTTTTATGATCTTACGATAAAATAATCTTTTTGAGAAAAATAAGAGCTTCCATGCAAAATTATTTAGAAAAAATTAATTGCAAAATTATTTAGGAAAAATTTGACATTATCTTATTTACCATATTTTAGGCAATGCAAATGTAAAAAAAATTAATGGAATTTATCCATCTAATTTTGTCCTCAATGACGTTGACGAAGTGCAAATAATAGATGGCGTAAAGACTTTCAAAGAGGACTTGATAGTCGATGGAGACGTTGTTGCGCCACGAATTAACAATGTCAATATAATGGAAAAATATAATGAAGGTGTACAAAATATTGATGAAAATGTCGACATCTTTGGTGACCTTGTTAGTACAATATTGAAAGAATCCCTAAAATTTTAATAGATTGCAAAAAAAATTTGTTAAGCACAGATTCTTCTTATATAATCTAAAGAAAAATTTAAAAGATTTCAAATTACGGGATTAAAATCAACTTAAATCATTGCAATTTGACGCAAATATTTACAAAATATTCAAGCTAAATTAATATTTAAGAATTAAAGCGTTAACTTTACTGTTCAATAAAATAATGTTAATTTATATATGTACATATCAAAAAGAAATTATTCCTTAAAAATTGTAACTTATGTATAGCTCGCATTTCTGCAATTATCTCTTCCACCAGATTTTCAAGGCGGATGTTCGGATTAAAAACATAAGTACTTCTGGATTGGTGAACGGCGTGAATCTGCGTTCTGTCGTCAACAATTTCAAAGGAAAGGTAGACAACATTATTGAGGACTTGCAGAAACGTTGGAAAATAATCGAACAGAATATCGAATACAGCTCGCAAATGTCCAAAACCTTGCGCAACGTCTTTTTCTATCTAGAGGAAGAAGAGGATTTGGAGATACCTGGGACCAATGTCAGTAAGATCGATGTAGTGTATTTTGACGAGAACACTGTCAGATTGAATATGTATAGGGAGCAGCCTGGAAGATTTTGTGGGCTACTTGACAACTGTTCGTGTACGTATCAGTCTGTGATTGATGTCATTAAGTTCAATGACACGAACAGAACTATACGAGAGTGGCAAGTTAACGCGGGGGAAATCGTGAAAAATTTTCACGATCCAGGCGAGATGTTCGGTGTGAATGTAATGACGAACGCTGTTTCAAGCAGCAAAGAATGCACCTCGACGAAAACCAGACTAGAATATACTACGATTTCCTTGATGACGATAGAAAATTTTAAAATGAATCACGAAGAAGTTTTTCATAAAATAAAAGGATACCTAAAGGATGCCAAAATTTTTAAGCATGATGGTATTCGCAGCAACATTAAAAAATCTGTCATTAAAATTATAATGAAATGTTAATGAAACTTAAAAAATTAATGTAATGTTTAATTTGCAGGCGATGTGTACATAGTTTTGGCGATATACTATGATAAAATACGTGCAACACATCGCACAAATTCCTTGCTTTATAAAGTGCATTCGATAAGAAACGCAACGTTAGTCCAAGAAATTCCTACGGATGGTGCTTGGTCCATTCAGATTTTCAATATCGATCACGAAGTATTTCTTCTCGTCGGCTGTTATGGCGAGTCCTTGAAATCTTTATTATATAGATTCGATCCAATAACACAAAAGGTATAAATTAATTAAGATAAAACGATTGACATTATATTTTGTAAAATATGAAAATTAAAATACTTATACTATCCTATATAAATATAAAAACGAGCATAATATAAAAATTATTTATAAAAAAATATAAAAAGTAATTAAAATAATTTAAAATTTATACAAAAATTAATTTAATTTTTCTTTATGTAAAAACTTTATTTTTTCGAATGTAGTTTGAACAGTTGAGAACATTCACAAGCAGAAGCCGTTACGTAAAAAGTCTATCACAAGAAAAAGATTATTTCGTTCTACTGGACAATCCTGATACAAACGCAGTGAACATTTACAAATACGACCCCGAGTTTCGAAATTTTTATAGTTATCAAAGTATTTTTCACTCCCATCAGATTAACGGGATTGAGTATTTCTACACCGATGGTATGATTATCGAAATGATAAATTAATATAATTAGAAGGCGCACATAACGTATATTTATATCATGTTTCTGCGCAATTTATTGACAATTATTATTATGGTTGAGATTTTGTTATATATGATTTTATTATGATTTATTTATGATAATGCACGAACTTATTTTCTCCTGCAGAGTATGGCAACAGCGATGTGTTTGTGATTGTGACGACCCAGAGTGGACAGTTTTATATTTATGAATATATGTTTGCCGGGGTAAATTTACTGTCTTATCTATAAATAAAAGGAACGAATCCTCTTTACTTTTCCCCGCTCATCTCTTTCTTTCTCTCTTTCTCCTTGTCTCATTAAAGAATTTCTTATACAATGACACGAAATAATTCTAAGATTAAATAACATATAATTACAATTATTTTCAGAAATTCCAAATGAAAATGCAACACGCTGTGAATGGCTTACGAACGATGATGCCATTCTACCACATGAACAATCATTATATTTTGGCTGGCACAGACGACGATAACATAATTTTCCGCATTATAAAACAGGGTCCACATTAATGCAAAAAAAAATAGAAATCGGCATAAAAATTTGAATTTTATATATATCTATGCATATTAATAAGTATTTATTATAAATCGATATAGCAAATCACTCACGAAGCACATTCCTAGTAAACGAAATTGATTGAAATGAATTGAAATGGAGTCAGATTTTGAGAAATATGCATTCGCAAACGTTAAAATAAATTTTTTTTTTACATCTGAACGCATTTTTATTCATTTACAGGAATGCATAAAGCATATTTTTATGCTTTTCAATCTAAAAATAATATCAGCTTTTTCTATATATGCATCGAGAATATTTGCTCAATTCAAAATTCTGAAAAGGAAATGCAGTTTTTCAATCCAATTAAAGTTAAATCAGTTAAATGCAATTCAATAAAAGTTTTTTTATTTAATTGATTCAATGGATTTAATATATGTATAAAAATTTCAATTCATTTTAATCTACTTCCGATTACTGGGCTAATGTTGAATCAATATATCAGAAACTTTGAACTTTATAACTTTGCAAATGTTGCATCAACATCACGAAATATATAATGTTGAAAAAACATTCACACTTCAACATTCAACATTCTTTCAATATTCTGTATTAATTGACTGAGAGTTATAAATTATAATGATTATTAATACGTATATTTACTCTTTTGTATTATTAGTAATTTGTACTATTTATAATTATTGCATTCGATTAATCAAAATGCAAAAATCAATCAATGAATCAATGAACTTTGTTCTTATTGTTATTATATATTATTAAAACAAATATTATATATTGAAAACGTTATTTGTGAATAAAATTTGCATGATAAAATCTAATTTTTGTAAAATATAATCATTAAAAATTATTAATACATATATTATTTACATATATCGCTTTATTTAAAAAATGGCATAATCAAAAAAATTTTGTAATTTTGTAATTTTTAAATTATTTATTATATCATAAATAAGTAAAGTCAATCATCAAAATTGAACTTAACTTTATAAAAAAATCGTCGCAACTCCAAAAATATCTTTTAAAAATCATAAAAATAATAAAAATAACATTTAATCATGTTAAACATATTCTTTTTATTGCCGCAATATTATTTAATTAGTCAATAATTTTCTATTGAATTTGAAAAATGGTTTTTTTTTATTTTTTGGGTAACTTGATTTTTTTTAAGTTTGTGACTTTTAAAGTAACAATATCTTTTTTTCTAATTTTATTGATATATATATATATATTAATATAATTATACTTTTAA